GGAAGTGTCAGAAAAGATTCACCGTGTCAAATGCCACATTACTCTCTAATGAAATCTTTGCGTTTACTTGAGGCCATATCATCTCAGTTTGACGGCATATCATTTTTTTTTTAAACTATACTAATATTATGTGATTCTGAAGGCAGGTAATTAATTGTGTTTATTTGTTGTCTACACTAAAAACGCTATTGCTAAAAATCTGACACGGGAATTGCCTTCTGTCATCTAACTGCAAACCAAGTGCAGTTTGGTCTATAAAATATAAGTCTAACCACCTCTTTCCCAGAATAAACAGCCAAGACCGGCTCCACCGGACTACTTTCTTACATATAAGTGCAAAACAGCCCTGGATCAGTCAGGATGATTTTATTTACTCTTCTCTAGCTCAGTTTGTACGCACTGGCTGGTTTTTCTTTCTGTCTGTTACAGTCGAGTCCACGTAAGTCGAACTCGGATAAGTCGAATTTCGGTAAAGTCGACATGACCAGCTTAGTCCCGGCAATTTTCTCTATTGTCTGTGCTGTCTGAATAAGTAGAAATCCTGATAAGTGGAAGCATTTTCTTAGGTCCCTGAGATTTCTACTTATCCAGACTCGACTGTATTTGAAAACATGTAAGTTAAGTAAAGTTAAAGACCCTTTTCAAGTATTTCAGGCCTCTGGGAATATAGGGCTTGACAAATATTTTATAAACCAATTGCACAATGTCGACGATGTGGTCAGCATCACGCCAGCCACCTTTACTTTCCAGGACTGTACCTGGTACTCAATCAAAGCTGGGTCGACCTGAGAGCCAGGATTCGTCAGAGCGCGAAACCCCCGACCTTCCTATCTGCAGGCAAGCGTCTAGGCGCTACATCGCGGTGGCTCTCCTCTAAAAACATGTGATAAGTGATTAGAAAGGATTATCACCACAGCACTCCGGACAGATCAATAGGTGCCCCGATCTCCTCAAAAACTCAACAAGTGTAAAACGACTGATGACGCCTGTTCTGTGTTGGTTAAAGAAACGTCTTGTCCCCTTAGTGAAATGTTCATTTCTTGCAGCTCATGTCCATCAGTCTAGACAGGGATACGAAGTCATAAAAAGACGTGCTTACCAAAAATGATATTATGAACTATACAGCATTATTAATATTGATCTCTGGTACTGCCCAGTGTTTTTTCCCTAGGAAAAAAGATTTGATTTGATGTGATTCAAAAACCGACATCACAGCACTCGGGGCATTCCCATAAGCGCTCCGTCCCCATCTGCAGCAGCCAGCGAAGAGTTCCGATATTAATAGTGCCAGTAGCATTCTGATTAAACGTCTGTCTTGCCTTTCCTCTGAGCCTCGAGCATCTACCAGAACCTCTCATCACTTCCCCCTGCATCAATCTCACCAGACTTTGGTGGTCCATCTGCTTCTCCGAACTGTACACGCTTTCCAACAAGGCACTAACCACGTCTGCCTTATCATGTATCAGTATTCCACCAAGTTGTGCAGAGTCAGCTTGTTTATTTCCCAACACACCGGCGTGCCCTGGTGAAAAAATCCAGACACTACTGCTCACCCGTGTCCTCCGCAGCGAGGCATATCACTCTGCACGAAGTATGCATGTAGAAAGAAGAAAAAAGAAGATGCTGATACTCCTCAGGAATGCCTAAAAAAGGTACCAGTACTCACCACAGTGTGTATTACAGTAGCACCTAAAAAAGGTACCAGTACTCACCACGGTGTGTATTACAGTAGCACCTAAAAAAGGTACCAGTACTCACCACGGTGTGTATTACAGTAGCACCTAAAAAGGTACCAGTACTCACCACGGTGTGTATTCGTACCAGTACTCAACACGGTGTGTATTACAGTAGCACCTAAAAAGGTACCAGTACTCACCACGGTGTGTATTCGTACCAGTACTCACCACGGTGTGTATTACAGTAGCACCTAAAAAGGTACCAGTACTCACCACGGTGTGTATTGGTACCAGTACTCACCACGGTGTGTATTACAGTAGCACCTAAAAAGGTACCAGTACTCACCACGGTGTGTATTACAGTAGCACCTAAAAAGGTACCAGTACTCACCACGGTGTGTATTACAGTAGCACCTAAAAAGGTACCAGTACTCACCACGGTGTGTATTACAGTAGCACCTAAAAAAGGTACCAGTACTCACCACGGTGTGTATTACAGTAGCACCTAAAAAAGGTACCAGTACTCACCACGGTGTGTATTACAGTAGCACCTAAAAAAGGTACCAGTACTCACCACGGTGTGTATTACAGTAGCACCTAAAAAAGGTACCAGTACTCACCACGGTGTGTATTACAGTAGCACCTAAAAAAGGTACCAGTACTCACCATGGTGTGTATTCGTACCAGTACTCACCACGGTGTGTATTACAGAAGCACCTAAAAAAGGTACCAGTACTCACCACGGTGTGTATTACAGAAGCACCTAAAAAAGGTACCAGTACTCACCACGGTGTGTATTACAGTAGCACCTAAAAAAGGTACCAGTACTCACCACGGTGTGTATTACAGTAGCACGTAAAAAAGGTACCAGTACTCACCACGGTTTGTATTACAGTAGCACCTAAAAAAGGTGCCAGTACTCACCACGGTGTGTATTCGTACCAGTACTCACCACGGTGTGTATTACAGTAGCACCTAAAAAAGTTACCAGTACTCACCACGGTGTGTATTACAGTAGCACCTAAAAAGGTACCAGTACTCACCACGGTGTGTATTCGTACCAGTACTCACCACGGTGTGTATTACAGAAGCACCTAAAAAAGTTACCAGTACTCACCACGGTGTGTATTCGTACCAGTACTCACCACGGTGTGTATTACAGTAACACCTAAAAAAGGTACTAGTACTCACCACGGTGTGTATTCGTACCAGTACTCACCACGGTGTGTATTACAGTAGCACCTAAAAAAGGTACCAGTACTCACCACGGTGTGTATTACAGTAGCACCTAAAAAAGGTATCAGTACTCACCACGGTGTGTATTACAGTAGCACCTAAAAAAGGTACCAGTACTCACCACGGTGTGTATTACAGTAGCACCTAAAAAAGGTACCAGTACTCACCACGGTGTGTATTACAGTAGCACCTAAAAAAGGTACCAATACTCACCACGGTGTGTATTACAGTAGCACCTAAAAAAGGTACCAGTACTCACCACGGTGTGTATTACAGTAACACCTAAAAAAGGTACCAGTACTCACCACGGTGTGTATTACAGTAGCACCTAAAAAAAGGTACCAGTACTCACCACGGTGTGTATTACAGTAGCACCTAAAAAAAGGTACCAGTACTCACCACGGTGTGTATTACAGTAGCACCTAAAAAAGGTACCAGTACTCACCACGGTGTGTATTACAGTAGCACCTAAAAAAAGGTACCAGTACTCACCACGGTGTGTATTACAGTAGTACCTAAAAAAAATCCCCCCATGCGGGAAAATGTATTGGTCAACTATACCGTTGCGTCCTGCCGGAAAAACAAACCGCCCTTTTACTACCTTAATTGGGAGTTACCGTGGCAGAGCAGCTAGACGCTTGCCGCGGATCGGAAGGAAGTGGGTTCGCTCCCTGGTGGAGCAGGACTTTTTTCAAAAATGACTTTGGCTCCCAGGTCGACCCAGCCTTGAGTGGGTACCGGGTGCAGTCTCGGGAAGTGAAGGCGGCCGGCGTGATGCTGCCCACATCGCCCATCTTGTGCTGATTGGTCTATATGCCTTTTACTTCTAAAGGCGTGGTAAAGGGTCCTTTATTTTTTTTATTTGTAGTACCTTATATTTTTTAGACTAGTCAGCACATACTGGCTAACCCTGGGTAGAGAAAAAAATAGAAAAGGGCAAGAAAAACATTAAGTATATGTCAGCTTTACAAAAACACTTGCAATAAACAAACAGGGCGTTGCAGCCATTAACCTTCATAAGCAGAAGAATACAAGAAACAAAACACAACATACACACAATGGAACTATGTAAAACGTACCTGGACCACTTTGAACAGTATAAAGAACAAAAATGACCCAACAATAAAATATAACCATTTTTAAAAAACATTATTTGATTTTAACACTAATATATTTTTGCTATATTAAAAGTAGAAAATGCATTATTCTATATAGATTTAAAAAGAAAGGTATGAAAATACGGGATTGGACTTATCGTGGTCGTTAGACGCTGGTTGCTGGGCTGTAGGATTTGGGTTTGACTCTATCGCCATTGAGTCAGATTTGTTTCAAAATGTACCCTGACTTCCAGGTTGTTCCAACCTAAAATGGCTTCCTGTGTGGTGTCGATGGTCACATCACCCATCGAGTGCTGATTGTGGTACATGAGTCAAGCACTTTATGTTCAGTGTACTGCTGGGCCTTAGGAAAAAAGGGTGCTTTATTATTATCCTACCCCAAACAGAGAACATCCACAGGTCACGGGACAGTCTAATATTTCAGGGGGTGGTAGATAGGCTGCATGCAGTCGTTGACCTAGGCTGCATGCAGTTGTGGAACCTAGGCTGTACTCTCTCATGGGATGTAGGTGAGTTGGGATTAGGGCCAGTTCTAGATGTTTTGGGGTCGTTAAAAGCACCCGAAAGCCGGGAAACCCAGTCTTACCACCCTCTAAAATGTTGGACTGTCCTGTAACGTCATCTCGGGGTAGGATATTATAAAGAACCAAAAAGGGCCCTTCTTTTTGAGTGACCAGATATTACACGTGTGCACCTGTCAACGTTCTATGCATGTTTTTACATTTTATTATTTTGACGTACTAAAGCACTCCAATAACAAACCTGCCTTCTGCCAGGATTGTGTTTTTAGACCCAGTGGATGTACTACACCTATGATTTTGCTACTTTCATTATTGCCTCAGTGAAACATTTCTTATGACCTGCTGTAACTGAAAGTTACTTAATATTATACTGAACAGTAGAAAGTGCCTTATTTTTTTTTTGGGATAATTTTTTGCATCTTACGAGAATCTTTTTCTTTCTATTACAGGATATGATGACGCCATGTAACTACAACTCCAATGGCCTGCAGGATTACGACGTACCGCCTCCGGATAGAGACTTTATTAACATTAGGTCATCATCGCGTAGACCATCTTATGACCCTTTTAGAAATTCAGCAGGGTCGAGGAAAGCATCCCTTGTTGGTGAATTGTATGATACTCCTCCCAATAGCAAGCGAACCTCAGAAGAGACTTCTGAAGGAATCTATGACACGCCACCAAGCAGCAAGAGAGCATCCAGTGAGAGAACTCCACCTCAAAGTAATAGATCTTCAGCTTCAAGAGACTCTGGTTCAAATCTTCTGTCAACAAACCCAACAGGCCAGCTCAATGGAACAACACTGTGTAATCACCATCCAACAATTGTTAGGCAAAAAAATGGACCAAATCCTAGTGAAAATTGTTATGAAACACCCCCAGGAAGTAACAGATCATCACTTGAAAGATTATTATCAGTAGAAAATTCACCGATTTATGAATCTCTCTCGCCTGCAGTTTCTGCAGAACATTTAGATGCTGCGCAGCATGTTTATGATGTTCCACCTTCGCGAAATCATGTTCACTCACTCAGTAACCCTAATTCACAAGCTAGTCTTTGCTCTGCTGTCTCCAACGAGTCACTTCTCTCCAACACATCTTGTCTGAGCAGTAATCGTATCTCACAGAACACCAGCCTTCCAGATTCAGCCTGCTCAAGCATGGATTTGCCCTCTGATATCTATGATGTCCCTCCATCTGCTCAGGAAGGAGACAGGTCAAGAAAACAATTATCCGTGGACTCTGGGCTAGGATTTTATGACAGTCCACAAAAGTCTCGACCTTCCTCTGCAACATCAAACACTGAAAGCCTTAATGTCTCCAAGTCTTCATCTGACTATAAGCCATTTTCATTTGCTAAAGATATCAAGCGTAGCAAAAGTTTAGAAAATACAATCGATGATTTGTATGATACCCCTAAAAACAATGGCCCTAAGTTTATCTGGAAGAAAGCAGAAGATACAACTGGTAAGAGCTCTTCCAAAGAATCATCAGAAGTATCTAGTGAACCACCTGAAGTAGCCAGAGACTCTGTTATTTCTGTAACATCAGACTCCTCAGATGACAACACAGTGTTGTCTTCAAGTCTGGATACTGAGCAGCAGTTAACTGACATTCTGCTGTGGGATGTACTGCTATTAGATCCTAATTCTGCTGTAGAGATGCTTGCTAAGAAACAGCAAGAAATATCCAAGGCCACTACGAAGTTATCCAGTTATGTCAACAGTACTTGGAGAAGCCGATCAAGTTTGGAAAAGACATTGTATGAGATCAAGGTGTCATGTACTCTGGTGAAAAGTTCCTTACAAGATTTTGTGGGCTTTTGTCACGGTGCACTTGCCAATGCTGTTAGACTGCCCGACTACCATTTGGCCAGCAGACTGCAAAAATATGTATCTCCACTTCAGAGTACCCTGGAGCTAGTTAATAAATCTTACTTGAAACTTGAGGACATAAAATGGCAAGTTTCGTTGTTGTCAGAGCCACTAGACAAAAGCAAACCTGACGACTTGAGTCAAATTGCTTTGGTTGCCACAGACCTGATGTCTGATGTGAAGAAGACAGCCTTATTTATTCAAAGTAATAACCAGATTTTGTTTTCAAGAATTGCAAAAGGTGAAGTCAGGAGTTCTTCAGTGTCTTCTAAACCACCAGTGGGTTTAAAGGTTGGAAATAGTGGAGGAAATAGTTCTAGCAGTGCATCTGGGCAGTATAAGAATATTCAACACCGACCTCTGCCTGCGGTGCCTGGTGGAGTCACATGTATTCCACCAAACTCTGTACAACCTACGCAGGAGAAGCCTAAACTACCACTGTCTGAAATTAAGAAAACATTAAACATGGATGACTATGTTGAGTGTGATGATCTTTCTTTCAAAACAGAGACTGAGGCAGCACACAATGCATCAGTGGGACACACAGTAAAAGAGCATGATTATGTCCATCTGGATCCAGCAGATTTATGTACATCTGACAGTTCAAATAATGAACTTGCTTGGGATGGCAATAATACTTGTGAACAGAATGAACAAGACATGTTCAGAAATAACCACATAAATATAAATATAGGTCAACAAAACCTAAAGACAGATATTTCAGAAATTTGTAATTATGATGTGAACATACTTCCAGTTAATAATAATGCTTTCCAGTACAAACTAGATATCAAATACTCACAGCCTGAGAAAGCATTTCCTGTTCTAACTAATGAGGAAACAACTCTTAATTCAGATACCATTTCTGACCTAGAAAGGTCTGAACAAGATCTGAAAACACCTGTAAATTTAAACACCTCTTCAGATGATGCAAAATTCATTCTGCCACCAGTGAGTTCTGCTAACTTTACAACTGAACCAGAGGCTTTAGATCCAAATGATCGTCAGGTTCTGGCGTTTTATATTGACAAAATGAACAGTCATTCCACTTTGCTGGCCAATGCTGTTGATGCTTTTATTGGTGTTGTCAGCAACAAAGAGCCTCCAAATGTTTTTATATCACACAGTAAATTTGTGATGGTGTCTGCTCACAAGCTAGTGCACATCGGAGACAGCATTCACAGAAATCTCATCAACAATAGCCTGAGCATCAGCATCATGCAGTGTGCCAATCATTTGTGTGACTGTCTCAAAGCCTCCGTCACAGCCACTAAGATTGCTGCCCTGCAGTATCCGTCTCCGCTAGCAGTCCAAGAAATGGTCGATGGAGTGGTCGCTGTGTCCCACGCAGCTCAGCAGCTCAAACGTGTTATCATACAAGCAGCAAAGCAATAATTTAAACTTGTATATCATGAAAGCAGTTACTATTAATTGTTTACTTACCCAGTCGGTCCTCTTCTATCCTGCGATGTGAAGGTTTGCCAGAGAGATCGCCAGTTTTCTCTGTGAGCAATTTTCTTTTTGGCTTCTATTCCAATCCTTTGTAAATCAGGGATTGTTTGATGTTGTCTTCAAGCAATTTTCTTTTTGGATTCCATTCCAGTCTTTTGTTGGATATTGTCTTCCTGGTGAATCCTGGGTCATCCTAGAGGTCTGGTTTCCTGGTTCCTGGCCTTCCATGCCTTCTGTGGTGCCTATTCTCTTCTATTCTGCATACATCTCAATCGTAACTGTAACAGATACACTTGAGTTTAAAAGCTTGGGTTTCAAATCGGTAATTTCTTATATAGTTTATCATATTTGTAAAAAGAACGTATAAAGGCGACTGGACTAACTTTATTGCCCTGAGTTTATATTTTATGGTTGGTCACTTGCTGAAAGTTTTGCACAAAGAATCAACTATGAAGCTTCAGCAATGATCCACAGGGATCTCCAAAAAAGGCATGAACTAAATGAGGGAGTCAGAAACCTAACTTAAAACCTTCAGAACATTCAACCACATTACAATGGAGAGACTCCTAGTATATCATATCTCAGTGTATACATGTACAAATGAATGCTAACATGTTCCTATCATCTACAGTCTGGTGTACCCAGCTGTAGCTAGTGACTGGCTCATTACTGGAAAGAAACAGTGTCCTCAATGCCATGCATAGCACATATTGTGAAAATGAAGATGACAAAAGGCTTTACTCCTTATTCCTGTTGAGTGTAGTCAAGAATTGACATTACAGCACTCAGAGCATTTCCTCATCTTCAGCAGCCAGCGTAGAGTTCCAACACTAATGGTACCAGTCACAATCTGGTTAAATGTCTGTCTTGCCTTTCCTCTGAGTGTAGTGAGCCAGCCAGACCCTGTAGCTACACTCAGGTGCATCACTCTCTCTGGGCCATAATAATCTTGTTTCTCTTCCAACTTTGTTACATGTTCACAAAGGGCCTTGACCACATCTGCCTTGTCATGTATCAATTCACCATCCAGTGGTGCAAATCCAGCCAATATGTCTGCCTGTTCATTCTCCACCACGCTGGCATGGCCTGAAGAAAAGTATCCCTATCAAGGCTGACAGACCTGAGGGTGCAGCCTGGTGCTTAAAGAAGTGAACATTACACCATGGGCACAAGCAGTTTGATTACTCAAACCAGAACAGGGGTGAGCACTCATTTAATCTTGAGGAGTTTTTTAGGAGAAGGTCGAAACACCTATGTATGGCCATGTTGTAATGATCGTCTATCACTGATTTCTTTTCGAGAATGTTATCTTTTTGGGTAATCAGTCAGCAACCTTAATATGATTTTATTATGGAACCTATTATTAGGAAGTTAGTACGAGTAGTTTGTAGTTTCCAAAACATGTTGTATTGCACTGAGAATTTTTTCACTAAAAACTTGGAATTTTTGGCTCTACAGTATGCTTGTCACAAAATCAAACTTTTTTTGTTGCTGTTTTTTTTTTTTAATTGTTTAAATATGAATTATAATAGTAATAAAAGTTATAATGTATATATTGTATTTACTAAACATACTGTTTAGATTTTGTTTCAAAATTTAAATAGTCAATTTGTCCTTGCTCAGAAAACCTCTTTACCCTAAATTATGAACATTCCTTTTGAATGTTGCATGTTTTACATTTGAAGCTTTGGCAATGAAACAATTAAAGCTAAAGCATTTATGCCGGTGTGTAATGTGAATAAACGGACCTTGGCTCCGAGGCTGACCTAGTGTAAAATGGGTAGTAGGTGATGCCCTGGGAAGTAAAGGCAGCTGGCATGATGTGGAACCTATCAGCACACTATGCCAATCAATCTATATATATATATGTGTGTGTATGTATATATATATATATATATATATATATATATATATATATATATATATATATATATATATATATATATATATATATATATATATATATATATATATATATATATATATATATATATATATATATATATATATATGCCCGGCTCTCTAGCGAAGTTGGTTAAACCTGACTTTCGCGGCGGCCGGGTGACGAACTTCTTGTGGTCCTGGTTCACTCCCGGGGGTAGGCAGAAAAGCCACATTTCTCCCAGATTAACGGTACCTATAATGGAATCAATGCCGAAGGGTTGCGATATCCATAGTACCGAGCCAAAGGGTTTACAACTCATGGTTTCTGGATACGTTAAAAAAAAAAAATATATATATATATATATATATATATATATATATATGTGTGTGTGTGTGTATGTGTATTTATATATATATATATATATATATATATATATATATATATATTTATATAAGAGTATAGGAACCTATGTTTAATGTGAAACTGGTCTTTTACTTTAGTATGACTATCAAGCAACTAATAATTGTGATGGTCATACCATCTTTGTGCTATCAATGCCAGCCATCGAAGGATCTAGAGAAAAAACTCAAAATTACATGTGAGATGAGATTCATAAGAAATGTATATGAAATAAAAATTGTATTTAGGACAAATTTTGGAAGGCCCCAACAGATTGTGAAGCCCTAAAGCTATAACTTAGCTTATGCCTAAATCAGCACTGGTCTAGCACCATATGCCCACTGCAACGATGTCATAAAAAAATATGTTACTTTAGCAGATGAAAACGCTGTATGACTGTCATAATGTGGTGTATATTTTGTTAACATTTGTGTGTGTGTCCATGTTTCTGTGGAATTTGTATAATACAGTGAAACAGATTGTTAATGTTTTCTTGATGTGAATTTGTGTACATAAAATACACAGCAAATCATACTTATGAAAGAGTCTGCTACAAGATTAACTTTTTCTGTGTGTGCACCATTGTGGGACAAACAAGAATAGACCCTTGCCAAAAAGCAAATCGTAGGAGTCGACTAATTGGGGGCTACCTTCAAAGCTGGAGTGCATGCGCCTAAGAGGCAAGGAACCAGCAGTCTGCATACAGATAAGTCAGATTTGTTGAATTGATGTACACTCAGCACTGGAACAAGACCAAAGCCCAGAGGTGGACGAACAGCCAGAACTTTCTGCCGGAGTTTACAACCGGTGAATGTGGAGAAGAAGATTAAGCTATCAAGTTATTTAAAAAAAATACTACTGATAATAATACAAATCTTACGCTTAAATGATGTACAAGTTTGTTCCTGTTTCTGTTTAATTTTCTCCTTCTTGGATTGCTGCCAGAAATACTGATACAAAGTGACTGAAAGAGTCACTATTCTGAAGGAATCAAGCGGGAGTAAATCCTAGAAACTTCTTTCAACCGTATAAGACAGTTCATAACAACAGAGATGAGATGTCTTAGGAGAGTTGTCAGTGTGACAAGAAAAAATTATAAGAAGACTAGGACAGAAACCAGTCATACAATTCATTAAAAAACAAAAAGGAAATGGTTTTGCCACCTGATGAGAATGCCCTGGTACCAACTGCCATAGAAAGCCACGCTGAAGAAATATAATGAACACAGAGCAAGGGGAAACCACGCAAGAGATGGAGCGATACTATAAGGAGCAACCTAACAGAAATAAACACCAACTTGTATAATGCATTGGAAAAAGCGCACAAACGATCCTTACACCCCCCCCCCCCCCCCCCCAACACCTCGCTGAAGTAAATGGTGGAAGAGAAGAAGAAGAAAAAGAACACAGTTCTGTTTAGTAATGCACTGTCTAATGTGGGTATGTAGGATTTGTTTAAACCTACAGGTTTTTGTATAGTTTTTTGTCTATGTTCTCTGAGTGAGTGATTTTTTAGGACCGCACAATGAACGATTAACACCCGATGATGCAAAGTGCCATCATTCGGATGAGAATCCACCAGGCACAAGTTCCAAAAACCCTGTTCCACCTTTTAGTTTGTACTAGGGCCCCTGATGACAGCCATGGTGGGCTTTGAAATCAAATAAAAAAATAGTATGTCATTTTGGCGATGAACAGTATAATCATTCATGTTTTTTTTTCTATAACTCTTTTGGCTTACAGTTGAGAAATATGATGACTTTTGTTTCTCTGGACTTTACAAAGTAATAGACGTGTAATTTGATTATTTCAGTTGACATCTTTATTGCAGGATTTCAGCTATTTTTTTTTCCCACATACTGTACACCACATCTTTTTGATATCATGTGTAAAGAATCCAGACTACAACCTCTTGCCTCTCTTGATTATAATACGCCATCCAGATACAGGTGCATTTGGGGGGATATATTTAAAATTTAAACCAGTAGAGGCTCAGGGTTTTAGAAAGTGAAGATAGCCCCTGATCGTCAGAAATCGGGCCTGTTTTTAGTTTCATTGCTTGCTTTGTGATTCTTTGCTTCATCTCAAAATGCCCCATAAATCACCATCTTTTATCTCTTACAAGTGGAGATAGCAGCAGTAGATTAAATGTTGTTTTACTAAGCTTGCCATATAATTGATGTGCCATAATGTACTTGTTGTGTTGAAAACAAGAAAAAGCCTGGTTGAGTTACCTCCCTTGTCTGTTTACTTTAGTGAAGTAACAGGGTTGAATTAGAATTACTATTGCTGTAAATAAATGAAAACATATTTTACAAGTTCAGTAAAACTTTAATTACCTATCACCATCTGGACTATGGCTGTGACGGATAACATAAATTTCCTAATTATGTACAGTAGCGTGATTTTACTGCTAGATGATAGCGAAAATAAAATCCTTTAAAAGTAAATAATACACACATGTTGTCTCTAATTTTACAAAACGATCAATATAAACTTTAATTTAAGAGTAGTAATGTGCAGAAATGTATTTTAATACTATAAACCTATGTTGCTTGAAAATAATGTCTTCTCTTTATGTGTCTTTGAGGCTTGAGCTTTCTACATGGTGATGTTCTGTAACTTATGCAGGAGTAGATTCTGTGTTGCATTTGCCTCCT